GGCGATTCTGGGTTGGTTTGTGTGTGTCTGTGTGTGTGGTGGTGGCCCATTAAACTAAAGTGGTGAATTAAATCACAAGTTACTTTGGGACTTTATTCTACTTATTCTATTTTCGAAACTGAAGGTGACTAATTGATTTAATTATTTTTTTTGCTTGTTACTCAGTTAAATTTAATTCAACTTGAAGATCTTGTTTCAATTGAATGTTTCCTATTCCCAGATAAGTTTTTAGTAAGTAGTTATTGTGTGATTAGAGTGGGAAAAGGGAAACACTGAACTTCCAAGCAAAGTGAGAAGAGCTTCTGAAAAGAAAGGGAACGCCTAAAAAAATTCTATGTATATAGAAACAGGAACCGATAACAAAATTAGCAGGTAAGATATAGCGATGGGAATTCCGGCTCGTTTTAGAGAACCGGCTCTTTTTAGTGAGCCGGTTCTCTAAAAAGAGCCAGATGTAACAGTGTTGGCTTCTTAGGGCTCCCAAGCGGCTCTTCAGGTTGTTTTGTTGTTTTAATTAATTTATTATCAACAATAGAATATTATGCACAAAATGAATTACAAATGTAAAAATGTTTTTTATTTATTTATATATGTTTATTATATAAATATGCTTTTATTTATTTACTCCACATAATATAATGAAATACAAAAAACAACTATTTACAGTTAAACTTTGAACTATTTAAATTTTCAGCTTTTTCTTTTAAACAAATTTAAAGTGAAACAACACAAAACACTGGAAACCACAACACAATAAAATATAGATTAAATTATGCAAAGCAAAAAGAAAAAACTGAAGACCCAGATCTTTAATTTAGGTAAAGGTTTGCATTCAGATGCATGACGCTGTAGATACTGCAGCAGAAGCAGCAGCAGCAGCAGCAGCAGTTGCAGTAGACACACTGGCACCTTCATTAATATCACACTCAACTGACTGTGTTTTATCTTCCCATTGCACTGATGGGTGGACAGTTCTCAGGTACCTGTGCAGTTTGTTTGTGAAGCCTATATGATATTCTTTTCTTGTAGACTCTACACTCTGCCTTTTTAATGTCAGTAGAATTGAAATGGTTCCAGATTTTGCATCACTCATTTTCTTTACTATACCTTTCTAATATTGTTTCTTGTTGTTGCCTCTGGCTCTCTCTCTCCCTCTGTTCATGTGCTAATGCTGCTATTAGTGTAACTATCGCCCCTCCCCCCTCTGCTCAGCACAAACAAAAAAACAAACACATATTGATCAGTGTGGCATGAAGCGAAAAAGTGTGAGAGAAAGAAAAAAATAAAGCAGTTCCAAAAGCCGTTTTGTTCGCGACCGACCCATCACTAGTAAGATAAAGTAAAACGAACTCTAGGCGGGCCTAGCTACTTCAGGGTCGCTACATTAGGATGATTGGTTTTTGCTCTAGATTAAAGAATGGCAGTTGATCAAATTAATTTTCATCAATAATGCTTTTACCTCATCATTTGCATCAAACATTTGTTTTATCATTTACTGCACATAGTTATGTTTAGATTTCTACCCTCACCCACTAACAGGCATAAACAGAGAGAAGCCTTCTTTTCTGTGGAATGTGTGATGAGCAAGGTCTGCCTGAACTGGTGATGGCACCAGAAGGTACAAAACCTTGAGGCCCACTCTGCTAGAGGAAACTCGGCTGTTAATTTCTGGGGTTAGAGAAGCTCTTTCTCTCCCTTTTCTTTTCCTCGCTCCCTTCGCTATCTCTTTATGCAGATCTGAGCAGAGGGTAAGAGGTGGTTGCCATGGTAAAGGGAGCGTTGCCTGCAAGAGAGTCATCTCTAAATAAGGAGATCCAGAGAGGTGCAAAAGAAGAAACACAAGCTCATATCAGACCACCCTCAACTAGGGTTGCCAACTCCCCGAAAAATAAATAAGGGACACCTCGTGGCCAGGGCCGGGCGACCCAGTTGTCTTCACCCTTCCCAGTGTGGTGAATTTTTAGCTCTTTTTTTGTGTGAAATTATTTTTTTAACCATTTGACTTGAAGTTGATTTAAGTAGATGCATATTCTATTCTTTGTGATATGACCATATGTGAAACAAGTGATCATTTAGCCATTTATTTTTAGCTCAAAATGACAACATTAACACAGTAAAACAGGTCTCTTTCTTAAACTGTCATGCTTAACTTTTGAGAATATAAGTAAATCTTTCTTTAAAAGAACTCTGTCCTGCTTAACTTAAAATAATAGAAAACAATAGAAGGAAAAACATTCTTGTAACAGTGCACATTTAGTGCATTTAGTACAATTGGCTTCAGTTGAGGTATTATTTCAGACGCTCATCAGCTGCTCCTGTTTCTAAACCAGCTTGTTCCCATGATTATGCATCTTAACTCATCATCATTATTCATCTATGTATTACTTTTATGTATTAGTGATCTATTTGTTGTAATCATCTATCCTTGCAGTTGTTTATTACACAAAATAAGTTATATTATCACACTTCTGGCCACATAGCGCTGATATTCACTGCACATGCCCATATTAACTTTTTCCAGCCAGGTGTTTTCCTTTTCCCATTCTTCCCTTTCTCTGAGGGGAACAAACATTGCTGCTCTGATGCTGGGCTCACACTGTGCGGTTTTTGGCCCATTTTGAGCCGATTTTTGAGTCGTGCGACCGTTTTGGTGATCGGACCGATTTTGGCCTTCATCGTGCATCGTGTAGTATACGTGGGGTAACGAGAAGTGATTAACACCTCACAACCAGCTCCCGATCATCAATCGCTCGTGAGGGTCTCACCGACTGCAGCCGCTCAAACTGCTCACGCGCAAACACGTAAACGTCGGTGAAAAACACGAAATAGCACAGCAGTGCAGCGTGTGATCTGGACACAAGCGATGGAGGCACAACTTGTAGAACTTTGGAAAGCTCATCCGAGCCTTTTCGATGTGGCATCACAAAATTATCACGACCACAACAACCGTGAAAATAGTTGGATCTACACTGCTGCTCAATCACAGCTGTCTGATCAGTGTTTTTCATTAGCAATTTAGCAAAGTTGATGGTGGTGGTGTGCGTGTGAGTGAAAGACAGAGAGAGCGAGAGCGAGTGACAGATTTTCTGCTATAACCTTCATGTTATGGACGCACAGTGTGAGCTCTCAGGTCGCATCAGAGCATCGGGCGGTATAGTGTGAGACCCTGCATCGTGACCTACCAACTTCTAACCCCTGCGAGTCAATCGTGCAGTTTGAGCAGGAGCTGAATAATGTGACTGAAAAAAATCGCACAGTGTTTGCCCAGCATTAGGTTTACTGTCATCCGAGACTTGCACCGCAGTGTCGGCGTTGGTTTCCCTGTTGGCCATGCTTCTTGTTGTGGTCATCTGTTGTCTTCCGGTATTTTCTCCACAAGCGACCTTTCCTCGACCAATGAGATGAGCGGTAATCTGAATTGTCATACTCAAATTGTCATAAGTGTGCTGTCAGCTCATTGGTCACAAAGCAGGAGAGGGGCTGGGAATTATGTTTTCAAACAAAGCGTTAATTCCATTAAAAGTTATAGACTACTTTTGATTCTCACTGTATTACGGGACAAAGTGCGTCCCTTATTAGCTCAATACGGGACGTGTACTTTTGTTTCTAAATACGGGACGATTCCGTTTTTTAAGGGACGGTTGGCAACCCTATTCAGACCGGTCACATGATGTTAACCTGATGTTTCTGTGACATGCAATAAAAGTCTTTACATCCTGGGTGCTTTGTCTCTAAACCTCTTTGTCTCTAATAAAAAGTGAAATCTAATTATTTTGAGCATATTTGTCCTCACTCATGGAAAAAACCCAACACAACTGGAATAAGTGATCCTTTCTTATATTTATTTTTCTAAAGAATTAATGAGGATTTTTGACCTGTTTTAAAAAGCCTCTGTATAAATTGTATAATATTTAAGTAAGACTTTGAATTGGAAAATGATTTGCACTGTTTAGATTCTATTTGGTGTTATTTGGCAAGGTTTTGATGTGGGTCTAGTGGTATTTCCGTAGTTAAGGACAGATTTTATGTAACTGAATATGTTAATTGTTTAATAATTTATTATTGTTTAATAAAACATACATTAAACCCACAAATAAATGCAAAGTGGAAGCTAAAAATAACGAGAACGTCTGTCTCTAACAGTTTCTTTTCTCGGCTCTTGTAGTTATTATCGGTGCCATGATTTTCATTTCAAGCAGACTGTGCTGTTACTAATATGCTGATCATAAAATGACACACTGTCTCATCTCAGTGGAGTATGTGAGGAATAAAGAGCATGCGATACTACACAAACAGCTTGTATTGACATGCGTTATAACCTCAGGATAAAAATGCTCGGAAACTCAAGTGCCAGTTTTAGGACGTTTACTGACCACTTTTAGAAACAACCACAGCTAGTCGCACACATACAGGAAAACTGTCCCACCCATAACAATCCGGCAGGGAGAACCCTGAAAAACCTCTGAAGGTTCCAGGGTGCAACGGCCCCAAACATACATTAACAGCAACACTGTCTATAACAACATGAATGCTCTTAAAGTGAAGTAATTTACTAGCCATCTCATGATAACTGGTTTTGTTGGGTCTGCCTATTTTGCAAACGCTCATATGGGTTGTATTTGACTGTAGGAAAAAATCTTTGTTTGGACCAGAAAACCTGTTAAATTAAAATTCCTGATATATTATAGAGGAAAGTACACGCCAGGTGGATTTTTTTCCTTGTCTGAATGATTCTACATACAGTGACCCAGAGAGAAGTTATGGAAACTCCAGAACGATCAAAAGGTTTTTATGACTGAACAAACATCAGCCAAGTCATGTTTTTATACAGATCATTTGATAACTCTTTAAATCAGATAGTTAGTATTCAAAATTCAGTTGCTGGGCAACCTTTATTAAATCATAAAATTCTCAGGCTAAGCCAAGTGAGGCATATAGGTTGTGAATTTGTGTTAGAAGATTTATGCAAGATAGATTTCACTCAGAAAACACGTAGTCGCTGAAAACAGACTCAGTCAGCATTTATTAGCTTTTCTAGTCTTGTACAAAAAAGCATTATTGGCAAGTCGGCAAATGTACCACACCATGTTCACACTTCTGACGCATTCCCAGTGTCCCAACGGGTCTTCCTCTGGTACACATAAACTCGATTTCATCATCATGTTCTGTATACAGTTTATCATCTCTTGAAAATCTGAACTGAATATTATGTCTGTTCATGTCGTCTCTATTCACAGTGCAGGCTTCTGTAAGACATAAAAGATAAACAGTCTTTTAATGTTAGTAAAATACATGAATGTACAGAATATTGTGTTCTGTAAAGGACTCTGTGGCTACAAATAAAATTGATTTTCTCCTGCCTAATTCTAAATTGTGGTCAAATGCTGGAATGGTACACAGATGATCTACTGTTGCTGTTGCTCTTGTGGGGTGATTACATTCACTGTTAATTTTATGTAATATTTCTGTGACTATTTTACATGCTGAAGTCCTGTCCATCCCAGCCTGACTCCTCTCAGCCTCACTACAGTACTAGACACTTTAATACCCACCTGCACAATGTACATTTTTCAGATGTTTCAATTTGAAATTTCCAGATTGTCTTATTTTATTTAATTCACTTTTATGGTTATATGTATATATGTTCTCTCTTTTTGCATGTACATAATGTTCTCTCTCTCTTTTTGCACAGTCGAGGAGCGTGTCAGGATACATTTCACTGCGTGGTGTGCTTGTATAACTATGCGTGTGACAAGGGCTCTGTACTATAATTCAACTTCATCATGTCTATTTTATAATATCACCTGAAGTCAACAGGAAAAAAATTAAAGAAGGTCTTACTGGAGCTCATCATGGAAAAACATAAAAAATGTTTGTCAGTAAACTTCAGACCCTACTATCCACACAGTGAGAAATGATTTTGTACCTGTTGATTTCTTATGTCAAACACAACATGCTCCAAAAAATCTATCACAGTGTTTTAAATGCGTGCGGTGTACACCACCACAGTGGACTTTAAACTGAACATTTAAGATGTTTATTGAAGGGCTTCAACAAAGTAATGCATTCGCTGTTTGTGAGTAACATATTTAATTTCATATTTTATACATAGTTTCTCATCTTGAGAGGCTCACAAGCAGTCGTGTATATTTTTGTAAATATCGATCACACCTCTGGAATTAAACAAAATTAAAAAACAAAAACCAAAATGACTTTTTACGTTTCTCTTCACACAATGTAACATGAAAAATATAAAGAAAACTTTTACTTACGGAGGCATCTAATCTCTCCAGTCCATTCACCATGATTACATGTTTTGAACGGTCCACCCTTCATGACGTAATAACGCTGACAGATATATTCAACCTTTTCATTATGTTGGTACAGATGTTTAGTACTTGTTTTGGTGTCTCCATCTGAAAGAGGTGGTGGCCTCCCACAACCCTGGGCACCTGCAAAAGTGTGAGCAATGGAGAAAAAAAAAAGTTTAGACAACATTTAGTCACAAAAATTTTTTAGTCACGTTTTTATGTTCATATACCGTCACATATTATTTTACATTTCAGGTGAAGTTTTCATCATGCAATCCGAGTGCAGATCACAGCCTTTAAGACTGCTTTGTCATCCTATATATGTAGTTCTGTTATGCTTAGAAAGCGGTCAGCACTCTTTGTAACTAATGATAAACTGTGTTGTACTGGTATCAAACTCATGTTGCTGTTGAAATGATCTGCTTCTTTGATATATTCATCTACTGCCTTCTCCCACATCTTACAGATCCTATCCTTTTAATTGTTTTAATCATTTTATTGTGAAAAAACAATTTATTTTTTTTTAAAGTTCAAACTCTTCTATGGTTCGTGTGTGCTCATCAGGTTCTCACATTTCCTCTGACATGTCCATAGCATGTTGTATTTCCTTGTTCCTCCATGTAACCCATGTTAACTGGTGATGAAATGTGTGATGTCTGTGGCTATGATAGAGGGCCACTTAAAAACACTGAAATCGTGGAAAAGCAAACCTGACATTAAATCTCTCAAAGTGTGACTTTGGGCAGACTGCAATAGTGTATCTAGGAGAAGTAGTGGGTGGTGAACAAGTGAAACCCATCCACTTAAGAACTGAAGCCATTGTGATGTTCTCAGAGCTGCAGCACAGTTTGGGGATGGTGGGTTATTACAGAGGTTTCTAAAAAAACGAATTCTTCTTGTTTGTATTAATATTATTATTATTTAATGATATAACTGCAACTAACCCTGAAGTCTACATTGTGGTGTGTTCAGGTATAATCTTAAATGCACCACATTTCAAACAGTTTTGAGCTACTGTCTGTGTTAGTGAAAACAACTTTTCAGCGTCACACTTAACCAACTTCTCAGATTTAATAAACTTGTCAAACTGGTTCCAGCGGCCCTCCACTGGCTGTTTGTTTACTTAGAACATATTTAAAAACTTTGTGTGCAACAAAAGGGAAATGTAACTCACGGCGGCATCTCATCTCTCCAACCCAATCACCATCGACACAGGTTTTGAACGGCCCACCCTCCATGCCGTAGTCTCTGTCACACACATATTCGACCTTTTCATTGTGTCTGTATGTGTTTCTAGTCGCTGTTTTGGTCTGTCCACCTGAAAGACGTGGTGGCGTCCTACATTGCTGGGCAGCTAAAAATTGTGGGCAATAACAGAGGAAAAACCAACATTAGATAATATTTTGTCACAATAATCACATTTTCACTCTGACCTGCTGTCATGCATCATTTTTCATTTGAAGTGAAATATTTGTCATACACCCTGTGCATCACTCTCCTTTACCTTAACACTGTGTGGCCATGTGTGACAAAGAATTAACCAGAAACAATGTTCACACAAACTAATTAGCACAAGAGCAGATCAGGCAGAGGACATTTTACTGATAACCTGAAATGTGTTTTTGCCTCAAAACAAACTATTAATTTCTGGTTTAAAGTGTGTGTAACTTACACTCATTCACACGACACCCCAAGAAATACCAAAAACAGCAATAGCAATCTTTTTCCATCCTTTGTACTGATAAACAGTAAGATCACAAGAGGACAAGTGTTGTACCTTCACATGTGGGAAGAGGATTGCTCCACTGTCCATTTCCCAAACATTCAAGCGTTGCGTTCCCTTTGATGATGTGATTACTGTTTTTACAAGCAAATGTTAGATGTTGTCCTTTTTTCATTTGATCGTCTGTTACATCTGTGGTGATTGTTAGACCTGCTGGTGTTTCAGGGACTCTACATCTCTCTGTTTTGAAAAAGAGAATCTGTTTTATTGTGAGGTTTACATTATAAACATGAAACCAAATCAGATTCAAAGTAATAAGACACTTTCTCACTACATTTTCAAACTAAGCAAGTTTTTCTTTAAATATTTACTATTAATAGGCATTCAGTTTCTCATTGCTGTAATGGAGATGTAATCAATGTCCAGTCTTTTAGATAACTCTTTATTGTCATTGCAGAGTCATACTAAGTACAGCACTACAATGAAATTGGAAATCTGTCCTATGTCGGCACTAAATATAACACAACACGATACGATACAAAACATCACAGCGCAACACAAACAACACAACACAGTAACTTAACTTAGTAATAAAAAATGAAGAAAAAGTGTATGTGTATTGCACACTGTTATTATTGCACATTAATTATTATTGCACCTTGTTATAAATATAATTATTATTACTGTTATTGTTTTTACCGTATAACAGTATATTTAAGGTTAGTTAAAGATTGTGTCTTTGGTACAATGTTGCATTATATTATTTCCATTGTTTTATCCCTCAAAGCAGGACTATATTCTTTCTCTACCCTTAACCAAGGGTGGGGAAAGAAAGATGACTAAAGATGAAATATGCCAGCATGCAGAATGACAGCCAGCAGTGTTTTTAACTTTTAAGACTCCAGTTTTAAAGCTTATTCACTGCAATAGTTTATTTTCATGTACGTACGTATACACTGAATATTGAGCTTCTTCCATTTCTCAGCTGTGCATTTAATCAAGGCTTGTCCTTGTAGTTAAGCACTGATAAGTTACTTTACAGTCAGATTCAGTATTCCCTATAATAAGGAGTTAGTAGTAACTCAATGGTCATAAACGTATTTGTCCCTTGTATTCATGATCCAAGCTCTAGTGCTGTGTAAAAGTAAATATAAACAGAATGCAATGATTTAAAAATTTCATAAACCCAGATTTTTTCACAATAAAACATAAAACATTTGTCTTAGATATCCTATACAATCTTCCTTTAAGACTGCTTTGTCAAACAAACTGCCAATTCTGATTCAAACAGCCCACTGAACAACTGATATTACTTATGATCTCTCCTTTTGATATATATCCTGCTGTTATGCTCAGAAAGTGGTTAGCACTCATTGTAACTAATGATAAACTGTGTTGGACAGGTATCAAATTTATGTTTGAGATTTCTAATTAATTCCCTCCTCACAAAGGAAACGTTGCTGCTGCAATTATCTGCTTTATTTTAGGACGGAAGTGACGGACAAGGTAAGCGACTCATGTTGTAACTGACGTCAGACGCCGGAGATTTTGGCGGAAAATTAAAGCAAATGGTAGTTTAGATTTGAACAAATTCATTTAAGCTTCAGCATTACCAAATACACTTATCAATTGTCTTATAACTAACACTATTTGTCTAAATAATCTCCAACACCCTGGAGAACAACGAGGAGAGTTTAGAGACTCTCCAAGATTATATTGATCAGTGCTTTCAGGATCTCGTGATGAAGAAGACCCCGTGTGCAGCTTCCCTGGCCAAACCTGAGACGCCGTCGTCGAAAAGACAACGCCCGGCAGATTCCCCCGGCTCAACATCGCCAGCCGGCAAAGATATTGCCGACATATTGGAGTCAATCGACAAGCGATTGTCCAGTTTCGACGCAAGGCTGTCCTTGGTGGAGATTCTTCACCGAGAATTTAAATGCTTGCGAGAATCCCTGGAGTACAGCCAGCAGCAGGTGGAAACGCTTGCTGCTGAAAATGCCACGCTAAGGGAGTCGGTGAAATGTCTCACAGATAATGTTACCCAGCTCAATAGAGAAAATAAAAAAATAAAAGAAACAGTTATCGATCTACAAGCTCGTAGCATGCGTGATAATCTGGTATTTTCTGGTATTCCAGAAGCCGCTGGAGAGGACGCGGAGACCACGGTAAAAAGCTTCATCAAAACCCACCTGAAGCTGCCGGAGGACACTGTGAAGAACATCGTCTTCGATCGGGTACATCGCCTCGGCCCCATTCGGGCTACGGCCGGGAGACCACGTCCTATCGTGGCCAAATTCGGCCACTTCAAACAAAAGCAACATGTGAAAAGCCGCGGCAGGGAATTAAAAGGAACGGACTTCAGCGTGAACGACCAGTTCCCCAAAGAGATCTTGGAACGACGCAGGGTCCTCTTCCCAATCCGACGCGGCTTCATCCAGAAGGGCTCCCGCGCTGTCATCGCTGTGGACCGGCTGTACGTGGACGGACAGCTCCACCGCGACCCCAACATCACTCCGTGGCTGTATTCACCTCACACCAGATAAGAATCAGCTGCACCATTTCCCTATCCACTCACACTAACTTGCATTAACATCTGTTTAACTTACCAGCATCAAATCGCATCTTAAAGTGTGATTTCATAGCAGAATTAACACCGTCACTCTCCGTCAGTGATTTAATTGGAATGTTTACGTTTTGTTTTGTGTTTTTTTTTTCTTCTCGTTTTTTTCCCTCTCTTTCCCCCCCTCTTGGTTTTATACTGCTCACCCCTGTCCTTGGTTTCTTTCTTTATTCCTTTCACTGCCTCGATCACCTGCTACGACACTCATCCACAAACATCCTTTATTTCGACACATACGCACCATGCGCTCAACGGCAGCACATTTACATCAGTCAGACAGCGCACACAGTCGTTTAGGATACACACACTTAAGCCAAGCCTACTCATATTAGTAACTATGCATACACAAAGTCAGACTCAGGGAGCATCTCGCCACACATTTTTTCTCTCTCTCCTTCTCTTTATTTATGAACAAGTGACATATTCTCTCCACCTGGCTAAGCGACGCACACAGCATACATCCCTAGTTATACACAAACATCTATGGGTACACTGAGGTTCATTACATGGAATATAAATGGAGCTGGCTCCAGAGTAAAGAGGTTAAAAATATTTAACCAACTCAAAAAACTACAGGCAGATGTTGTCCTTTTACAAGAGACCCACAGACCTCTTAGAGGTTCGAATGAACTTAAAACACCTGAGTTTCCTAATATGTTCTCAGCTTGTTATAATTCTAGACAAAGGGGAGTAGCAATTTTAATACATAAAAATATTAATTTCACAGTACTCGATACAGTTATAGATCCAGAGGGCAGATTCTTAATCATTAAACTATCTATACTTGATAAAAAAAAAGCTATGTATTGTAAGTGTATATGGTCCAAATGTTGATGATCCCTCATTCTTTCACGGTTTTTTCAGTGCACTCTCTGAACACTTAGATGGCATACTTGTTCTTGGAGGCGACCTCAACCTTGGACTAAATGAAGACATGGATAGGCTCAATACAGCGGGAACTCAGCGTAATTGGCAGTCCACAAATATAATCAAACAGTATATGAGCGACTTTGGTCTTTGCGATGCATGGCGCTCCCTTCACCCCACCAGTAAGGAATATACTTTTTTCTCACATGTCCATCACTCTTACTCTCGTCTGGATTATTTTTTGGTCAGCAGCTCACTGCTGAACGACATTTCAGACACTGAGATTCATCCTATAGCTGTCAGCGATCATGCTCCTGTATCTTTAACACTAATGCACAAGAATAATACTACGCCAAGAAAAAACTGGAGATTTAATGTATCACTACTTAAAGATGAAGACTTTATTAAATATTTTAAAAAAGAGTGGACTTCATATTTGGACTATAATGACACTCCCGAAACATCAGCTTCTGTTCTATGGGAAGCAGGGAAAGCTGTGATGAGGTAAAATAATTTCTTTCTCATCACATAAAAAGAAAAAAGAAAACAAAAATATTCAGGAATTAGAAAAAAACATCAAATCACTAGAAGAAGCCTACGCGTCCCACCAAGATCAGGAAACATTGAACAAAATAAGCAAAACAAAACTAGAATTAAATGAGATAATTGATAAAAAAACAAAATTCTTAGTACAAAGACTACGCCTACAAAATTATGAACATGGTAATAAATCCGGTCAATTTCTAGCAAACCAGCTAAAAATAAATAAAGAAAAAACAACTATATGTGCTGTTCAAGATTCATCTGGGAACACAATATATGATCCGATACAAATAAACAACATTTTCAGGGATTTCTATAAAACGTTGTATTCACCACAAATAAACCCAAAAAGAAATTGATCAGTTTTTGGACAACATAACTCTTCCAAAATTATTGGACACTCAAGCAATGGCACTGGATTCACCATTGACACCAGGTGAACTCCAGGAAGCTCTGATAAGTATGCCCAATAATAAGGCTCCAGGTCCAGACGGCTTTCCTGCAGAATTCTACAAAGAATTCTGGTCGATTCTAGCACCAGTTTTCTACAGAACGTTGTTGGAAATTAAAGAAAAGGGCAGACCATCAAATATGAATTCTGCAAACATTAATCTCCTGCTAAAACCAGGCAAAGACCCTGTATATCCCTCAAGCTATCGTCCAATATCCCTTATAAACGTAGACCTTAAAATAATCTGCAAAGCTCTCTCAAAGAGACTGGAGAAAATAACCCCCTCTTAATTCATCCTGACCAAACTGGTTTCATAAAAGGTAGGCACTCATCAACAAATACACGTAGATTACTTAATTTGATAGACTACTCATACAGTAAAAACCTAGAAACTACAATATTCTCTTTAGACGCAGAAAAAGCATTCGACAGAGTTAACTGGAAATTTCTATTTGCAACTTTACACAAATTTGGTTTTGGATCCTCTTTCATAAACTGGTTAAAAATATTATATAATTCCCCAACAGCTTGTGTTAGAACAAATGACCAGACATCCTCCAGCTTCTGTCTCTTGAGGGGCACCAGGCAGGGATGCCCACTCTCCCCTTCACTGTTTGCAATTTTTATTGAACCACTAGCAGCAGCAATTAGACAGAATTCAGTAATTAAGGGCATAAAATGCAAGAACGTGGAACATAAAATCAGCCTTTATGCGGATGATGTGTTACTCTTTCTCCAAAATTCACAAACCAATATCTCTGGGGTGATTGAATTGATAAACTCTTTTGCAAGAATATCAGATTACTCAATTAACTGGTCAAAATCTACAGTTCTACCAATTAATTGCTCCCTCCATAATTCCTCTTCTACACCACTGCAATCGGGAAATATAAAATATTTAGGTATTAATGTTTCTCCCAAGCTTGCAGATCTAACTAAATTAAACCATATCCCACTTTTAAAGAAGGTAGAAGATGATCTGGCTAGATGGAAATGTCTACCCATATCACTCATGGGAAGGGTTGCCGCTATAAAAATGATGGTCTTACCAAAAATAAATTATTTATTCTCAATGATCCCAACTACACCGCCACAAGATTGGTTCAGATCTCTAGATTCATGTATGTCCAAATTCCTTTGGAAAAATAAACCCCCACATATAAGCTTAAAAACACTACAAAAGACCAAGGATAAAGGAGGACTAGAACTGCCTAACTTTCAGCACTACTTCTTAGCCAACAGGCTTCAGTTTATCTCAGGATGGCTAAAACATACCCTCTTAGATGAACCTTGGCTAGATGTAGAACAAGCACTTTGCAATAATCTAGAGATCAGCTCAAACATCCAACAACATGAATGCTTTAAAAGCATCAACATCAGCGCTTCTCTGACAGCATGGTGGGAGTTTCTAAAATTGACAGCGTCTTCATTAATCCCATGCAAACGTACACCTATCTGGAACAACCCTGACATATTACAAAACAATAATATGATAAACTTTTCAGATTGGAGTGGTAAAGGAATCAAATATTTAGAACATATACTAGAAGGAACAGAATTTATTTCATTTGACAGACTAGTTACACAATATGGGATCAACAAGAAAAGATTTTTAGAATATCAACAAATTAAATCCATAGTAAAAAAGAAATTTAAACCGGGTCAAGTTGAACTACAAACACCACCAAGTGTGGTTCAATTTCTTACTCTTAAAACCCCCAAATTACTATCCAAAATATACAGAATGCTTTCTAAAACAGATGAATCAATATCACTTCCTATTGCAAAATGGGAAGCGGATTTATCAGTTAACTTAGACCTAAACTTCTGGTCTCAGATTTGCTTCAAAAACTTTCATCTAATTAGAAATCCCAGTCTTCAATTAATTCAATACAAAATATTACATAGAGTGCACTATACAGGTCATCGGATGTTCAAGATGGGCTTTACGTCTACCAACAACTGCTCACACTGCCAAACCAATTCACCGGACAATTATATCCACGCTCTTTGGTTCTGTCCACCAGTTCAGAAGTTTTGGCGCGAGATATGTGAAGACTTATCGAAGTGTCTGAAATGTAACATTCCAACTTCCCCCTTAGTGTGTTTGTTGGGCAGCTTAGATAATGTCACTTCAGAAAAGAATATCGCCCATATGGTTTTCACTGCCCTATGCATAGCCAAGAAAACAGTCCTCATGAACTGGAAAAATAAAAATAATCTTAACTCTAACCAATATAGAAATTATCTATTAGATTACATTAGTCTTGATACAGCCTCTGCCACCACATCAGATCAATTGCTCTGGGCTCCTTTGATCAGCTCCATCACCTAGTGGGGGTGGGGGGTCATAGTTTGGTCCCGCCTTCACTGTTGTGATTGGTGTGGGGGTAGGGACAGGCTTAGGGCGTCGGGGGGTTCCCCGGAGGCATTTTCCTTGGGGGGCTTAACCCGGGGTAGCGGTCATGTCCTGTTAGGGGCTCTGTTGGCTCTCAGGTGACTGTTTCCTCGCGGCTGCGTGCAGCGGGACTAGGGGAGGGTCTGTGCTGACGGACGTGGGTTACTGACCTGGTAGCCTGGCTGCCCCTGGGTGGGTCCGGGATGGGCGTGAGGTTCTGGGGGCGCTCCGTCTCTGGGCCGGGGCCCGGGCCGGGCCTCGGGGGCTTGGGTCCTGGTTGGTGTGTTGCCGGGGTTGTGGGCGGGTGGGTGCATGGGGGCCCAGCCCTGGAGCAGGGTGCCGCCGGTGCATCGAGCCACCTGGGGGGCTCTTCAACTGGTGGGGAAGATTGTCACATCTTGCAGGAGCTTTCCTCTCCTCAGGGGCTCTCTCTACAGGAGGGGGAGATACAGGAGAGGTGGAGGAAGATCTCAGCCTGGGTGTTTATTGTCTTATGTAGTCTGGAAGATGAGTGGATGGTGGGGTGGGTGCAGTTTTCTCTGTGGTGGGGTTGGGTAGACTGTCCTGGGCTCTGTGGGGCCGGGAGGCGCTGCTGCGCTGGGCCCCGGTCTGGATGGGCCTGGGCCCCCTTTCCCTGGTGGGTCGCGGAGTATGGGGGTACCTACTGGGGTCAGCGGGGGAGCTGGCCCCAGGGAGGGGTCACTTGCCCCTCCCTTCCTTCCCTCCCCATCTCCAGCTGCCTCCCTCTTCCCGCTCCATCACAACCACCCACACATGCAGGACCTTGGAGTAGGGGTATGTCACCAGGGTGCAGAGGAGGCCACCCCCCCACCCCCCCTGTCCCCTTCTGGCTGCCCCTGCCTCAATTTTATCCCACAACTTAGACATTGACATTACTCACACTCTCATTACACATACATATAGGATCTTGGGGGTGGGCACGATACACGGAATCCAAAGTACCATCAGGGTGTACACCCCACCCCTGGCGTCGTTGCCCACCTCTCAATGTTAAATACACGTAGACATTGAGGGCCAGCAGGAGGGACCATGCGCTTACCTGCTGCTCTCTGGCAGGTAGCTCCATGCCCTCCTGGGTTTTAAATGCACCTTAGAACACACATGCATCAACACTACAATGAGCGGGTGGAGGGAGGTTTGGAGTCTTCTCTCACCCCCATTCTCTGCGACCTGCTGGAGCAGGGGGGCTAGGAGGAGGAGTTGGCCGTCCGACTGCGGTCTGGAGTGTGGGGCCTCCCTGCTGCTGCGGAGTCGGGGCGGTCTGCCTCCCCCCACCGCAGGGAAAAGGGTAACACCACCTGGGTCTGGGTGCAGTTCCCCCCCTCCAGGGGCAAGGGTACCTAGACCCGGTTTGTAGAGTACGCTTGGGGAGTGTGATCGTGTGTACAGCGTCTCTTTATGTCTGTCTTCACGTTGGTTGAGTGTGGAGTAAGTGTATATGAGAGCATGAGGGTGGGAATGGATGTTTGTATATGTGTGTGCCTGTATTTCTGTGTCTATATGTCAGGTTGGGTGTCAGGCGCCACCTCTCTGGGGACATCTTAGGCCCTCCAAGGTATGGAGGCCTATCTCCCCTACCACCACTTCCCCTGCCAGTGGCGGACTCCCTCAGACGTCGGTGCGTTGGTGGTTCTTTGTGTCCGGGGATGGGCGTCCAGGTACACACCAGCTCACTCCTTGGCGGCCGCTTATCGGGGCCTGCAGCCTGGGGCTCGCTCGGGCCACTTCGGAGGTGGGGTGCCCCCGGCCTCTCGGCCTGGGGCTCGGTCACTCAGGCATGGCTGGCTGCCGGCGGAGCTCACGGGCGCGTCACTGCAACTCCCCCTGGCTTCTGCTCCGCGGCTGCTGAGTGAGCCCTCATCTGGGACTCTCCTCAGCTCTTTCTGGGACAGTGGCGCGGCTGCCCCTCTGTTGGTCTTCCTTGGTCTCTTGTGTTCTGGGGGCCTCTGGATGTCTGGAGTTTTGATCTCCTCCATACCTGCTTCATGCCCTGGAGGACGGGGCTGTGGCCCCCCACACCCTCTAGCAGATCATTACATGAAGGAACCTTTTAAAAACAAGCGCGTCCATGCTCACAGGTGTACACACAGGTGATCACACCCACAAACTACACCCTTTTTGGCTCCTACCTCAAAGCACACTGTGTTCTGTTGATCTTATGTGCTGCACAATAATGTTTAATATTTAATATTTACTGTCATATTCCCATATATCATTGTGATGCTGGTTATTCTATTACTCTTGTTCTCTTCTGCTTGTTTTCTTTTTTCTTTCTCAGCAGGTGATCCAGGTGATTGATATATGCATTTTTTATTTCTTTTTTTCTTTTTTTCTGCTCATTCTGTTGGTTTTTGTTTTTTGCCCTTCTCCCCCATCCCTCTTCTCAGCTGTTTCTCTTTCCCTCTTTCTTTCTCCCCTTCTTTCCCCCAGTCAAGTCTGTCCCGTATTCAGTAAGTGAAAATAAAATAAACAATAAAAGGTGAATCAAATGGACCATTACGGCAAGGCTGGGATGGTCAATTTGGTAAAGTAAATCCGTTGGGCATCTTTCTTTGCCTTTAGACAACAATTCTGATGGCAAAAGAGCCAAATGGGACAGGCCAAAAAAAAATAAAAATAATAATATCTGCTTTATTTGTTTATTCAAATACTGCCATCTCCCACATCTAACTCATTCAAATCCCATTCTTCTAATTCTTCTTATTTTTATTATGAATAATAATTCCTAATGATGTTTGTTTTGTTCAAGGTCAGCTAAGTAAAAGCTGCGGTGCCCTTGTGCTCGAACACCGAATAAATAGTCCCTACCTTGCAACAATTAGCTTTATCAAGAAAAGCAGTATATCACAAATGAATGTGAACAATCACATTTATCCTGAACATTCTTACCTCTACATTCGTTAGAGCCATGCAGGCCATCTTCCCTAAAGATTGGAGTGAAACTTCCTTCAGAACCTCTCTTGCATTTATACTGGACACTATTATCTTTCTTTTATCCCAACTAAATTTTCACAATAATATTGTGAGTAGACTGGCTCTAATATGGTGTATTTCTTCTCTATGTGAGCACTCAGTATACTTAATATAACATGCATCGTTCATTTATTGACAGACAAGTTTTGAAAAGATGTGCAGTTATTCACAAGATTTTTTAAATTATATTTTTGCAAATACATGAAATGAAAGAAATAAAAGCAGAATTTGAAGAAAAACAAGCTACACCTCATAATACCTTGACAAAGTGGATTTGGTTTCCATCCATCTCTGGTGCATGTGGCCCAGGGAGCGCCATCTGTACTCCTGTAGTCTGATCCACATGTGTAACTGACAGAGTCGCCCAGTCTTTGTTGTTGCCCAGAATCACCCCAGTAATCCAAATACAGAGCTTGTGGATGGCTACATGTAACCTCTAGAAAGAGATATAGACTAACTAATAGGGGCAGATCATCTTCATGTATAAATGAACCGCTGCAAAGCAAGAAACCTTAACCTTGAAATATGTGTATAAAGCAGATGCAGTTTTATACCTTCACACACTGGTCTGATAGTCCAGTCTCCGTCATTTTTGCAAGTAGTCTCAGCGAAGGTGGTCTGAGTGTTCAGAATCCAGTATGCCTCCCCACATGTAACTCTTATCTTCTCACCGGGAGAAAACACACTTCTATAAGCAGGTTCATATGTGGTTCCTCTGAGTGGTGGAAGTGTCAGTTGACATTTTATTTCTGAAATTGTTGAAAGATGAGGCATTTTGACCATTAGTATGTTATAATAAAAGATGCAGTTTGTTAAATGAGATTTGAAGGGCAATTGTGAGTGTGACAGGAACAAACACACAGACACACACACACACACACACACACACACACGCACAATATAAACAAATTCCCCTCTTGCCCCCACGGTCATCTACTAAAGGCCTGGGTACTTGAGGGTCCTGCTCAGTGTCTTAGCTGTTCCTAGGACTGCGCGCTTCTAGACAGAGATCTCAGATGTTGTTCCTTGGATATGCTTGAGCCACTCGGCCAGCTATGGGGTCACTGCAGTGAGTGCTCCGATTACCGCTGGGACCACTGTTACCTTCACCCTCCACATCTTCTTGAGCTCTTCTCTGAGACCTCAGTACTTCTCCATCTACTTGTGTTCTTTCTTCTTGATGTTGCTGTCGTTCGGTATAGCTACATCTATTACTACAGCCGTCTTTCTCTGATTGTCCACTGCTACTATATCTGGTTGGTTAGCCATCACTAGTTTGTCTGTCTGTATCTGGAGGTCCCAGAAGCAGCTGGTTCATTTGTGCTGCCAGATGCTCATGGAGTGCCGTCAGCTTTTTCAGCAAGTAGTCATGAATCATGTTGGGGCCTGGTGAAGTCCAACTCTTCATTCTGGAGTTCTTCTCATGGATATTTACCTCTGTAATGATTACTGGACCCTGTTCAAGGAGGTTGCTGTGGTCTGTTCTTAGATCCACTAGCCACTGAGCATTGCTGTTATGGGTTGCATCTTGCTCCCATATGCTCTTCCAGTACTGCTTTCTATCTCTCGGTTATGATTCTTCTGGCCAACACTGTGAACTTGGCAGTTCCCAAGGCCTCCTGTCTGCCACAAGAAAGATGATCACATCACATGCCTGAAACCTCCAGGGTGTGTCGCTCCTCCTGTCGCCCACCTGGAAACAGTGTTTACATTGCAATCTGCCTTTCATGGCTCTTTGGCCAGCATCTGTGACATTCAGTAGTAGCCTCATTGTTTTGACACACAAAACAAAACAAATAGCAGCAACCACACTACACACTCTAAACACATTAAATATTAAAAAACTGTTAAAATTGCTGTTCTCTCATTCACTGGCAAAAATGATTTATTGTAATTCTGGTTTTACTTGGCCGATCAACACATTTTAAAAATTGGTATGCAGTTTGAAGTCCTCGCTTTTGACACAGGGTGAAATAAAAACTCAGCAATTGTGGGTCTTGCTGCCATATATTCTTAAATCAATCATGTGATTTAGACGCACCAGCATGTCTGGCAACTAGTGGGTTAAATGACTAAAATCCTTCCAGGTTTTCATGAGTTTTGCTTTCAGCCTTTTTCTCCATGGAGCCCGGCGTCTACATGAAAGTTTTATGTGGTTCTATTAAATTAAATAACGTGCATCGCCACTTTTGATTATAAATATTAAACATAAACAATAAAAATAAGAATCTATGTCAGCTGTATGATGTGATGACGTCTTTCATTTTGCATAAAACTATTCTTAAACAAATGTTGTTTCTGACACAACTCCAAAAAGGATTTGTGTCTTCTCCTGGGAGAGCTGAGTGAATGTGCAAAGCACTGCATTAAAATGAATAAATGTGTCATTGACTAATTAAAAGGCTGATTTCAATCCACTGTTTAAACATCTGTTTGTTACTGTAAACTATTATTAAGACAGAAACTAGTAATAAGACTTTCTTACCATTCTGCTGTAAAGATTCATTTGGATTCAGCCACAGGAGAAAAAGACAAGAAAGGCCAAAGAGTCTCATTATTCAAATCAGGGATTGCTGTGTTCAGGAAATACTGCCTAAGAAGTCATTCACCTCCACACTTACACAGACTGAACTTTTTTACCACATGAATACGTGCATGCTGTGAAACTTACTCAGGGACACTGGCATTTAACCCTTCCACCTGACACACACACACACACACACACGCACGCATGCACGCACACACACACACACACACACACACACACACACACACACACACACACACACACACACACACACACACACACACACAGTGTATTGTTAAAATCAATTATTTAGATTTATGTCTGTTTTCAATTGTTGGGTATAAATATAAGTATACTAAAATGTTTAATATTTATATCAATAAGTATTAGACAAAGTTATAGCACACTGCTGGCACACACAGAGTTGTTCTGCAATTTTTATGTGATTTGTTTACCATTGTCCTTGTCATTCATTTACATGTTTGTTCACGCAGCTCATGTCACTTCCAGTTAAGAAAAATCTTTAGTGGAAAGAGGACAAGGTCATTACATCAATAAATTTCCAAAAGAAAAGAGAAAAAAGACACATGCTCCATCCTCCTACTTTTTATTATATGGAAAATAATAATAATTATTTTTCAAAATAAATAATTGACAATTCAAATAATGAAACTGGCATTTAAACGGTTAAAATCCTGAAATACTGACTGAATGGTTTATCATTTGATAAGGGGTCAACTTTATTAGGTGAAGCAGAAAAGATATTGATCTATGAGTATTTTATGGCAGATTTTGTATAGATCTGCGTGAGGACAGAGCCAGAGATTTGAATGTGTTTTTCAACAGATTTGACACTGCAGTGAATGCTTACCCCTTCTGACTTACCTGTAGCCAGCCTACAATCCACAGGTACACTACACTCTCCCTCTCTCCACCTTGCACCATAGCCTCCTGTGAAAGTCCTGAGACCCCTCCCCCACCTATCACTTTCACTCATGCCCAGGTTTAAAGACAAATGAGAAGACTCCACTCAGGCAAGTCTAAGTAGGGTGAGTCCCTGTGTGCTCACGGCCCGTGCCCCCAGCTTTGTGGAGTCTTTGATAAACTTTTCATGATGCCAACAGACTCAATAAATATAAATAATAAATATCTCATAATTAGCTTCACATATTTGTGTTTTATACTTTATTGCACATAGTTAATCATTGTAGAGTAGTATTAGAAGTAGATTGCTACACTCAGATACTAACAGACACAAATAGAGAGGAGCTCCCTTCTCTAACGAATTTGCGGGTTAGGGTCTGTCTCACTAGTGAAGGCACCAGAAGGTAAACATGGTCATAAATTTTGGGATTGGAGAAGCTCTTTCTCTCTTTCTGCAAGTCTGACCGAAAGCCACTTGAAGTGGCATCTCCAAATAAGGAGATGCTCAGAAAATTGCAGAAGAAGAAATGTGAGCCGACATCAGACCTAAGGCCACCCTAAACTGTTTCGACCAATCATGTTAACATTATCCTTATCAAACATAATAAAAAATGTTTACTGCCTGGGTGCAGCAGCCCTTTGTCTCTGAGCCGGAGAGAGGAGGTCTATAGCGCCATGTAAAACCAGTTTTTGATAATAAATTGCGAAAACTTATAATTGGAGCATATTTGTCTTCTCTCTCACAAAAACCTCTACACATAGTAACCTATACTCGATGGTCACGATAAAGCCATTTTAACCACTGTATGTGGAAAAACTCACAATACATTGGACTAGTCATTAAATTTCCTAGAAAAACAGTGAGCGGCTGCCTAACTAATCAATTGGTGTTAGCTGCAACGGCGGCCTCTGGAAATTACAACAAGGACTGCACTGGATTCAAGGTTGGAGACTTCGTTCTACAGTTTGCAGCTGCCTGGGAGGAGGCTTGCTGCTTTTCTTCCTGTGTGACAGACAGTGCGGCAGGGAAGAGGACTCCTCTTGGATTTGACCAGATTCCTCATCAGAAGAGAGGTGCCAGTTTATAATTTTTTTTCAGGGCCACTGGCTCCCCGACCACAGCGATCCAGGCCTGCAACCATATCGGACGTGGCGATTCTGGGTTGGTTTGTGTGTGTCTGTGTGTGTGGTGGTGGCCCATTAAACTAAAGTGGTGAATTAAATCACAAGTTACTTTGGGACTTTATTCTACTTATTCTATTTTCGAAACTGGAAGGTGACTAATTGATTTAATTATTTTTTTGCTTTTTACTCAGTTAACAAATTTAATTCAACTTGAAGATCTTGTTGCAATTGAATGTTTCCTATTCCCAGATAAGTTTTTAGTAAGTAGTTATTGTGTGATTAGAGTGGGAAAAGGGAAACACTGAACTTCCAAGCAAAGTGAGAAAAGCTTCTGAAAAGAAAGGGAACGCCTAAAAAAATTCTATGTATATAGAAACAGGAACCGATAACAAAATTAGCAGGTAAGATATAGCGATGGGAATTCCGGCTCGTTTTAGAGAACCGGCTCTTTTTAGTGAGCCGGTTCTCTAAAAAGAGCCAGATGTAACAGTGTTGGCTTCTTAGGGCTCCCAAGCGGCTCTTCAGGTTGTTTTGTTGTTTTAATTAATTTATTATCAACAATAGAATATTATGCACAAAATGAATTACTAATGTAAAAATGTTTTTTATTTATTTATATATGTTTATATATAAATATGCTTTATTTATTTACTCCACATAACATAATGAAATACAAAAAACAACTATTTACAGTTAAACTTTGAACTATTTAAATTTTCAGCTTTTTCTTTAAACAAATTTAAAGTGAAACAACACAAAACACTGGAAACCACAACACAATAAAATATAGATTAAAATTATGCAAAGCAAAAAGAAAAAACTGAAGACCCAGATCTTTAATTTAGGTAAAGGTTTGCATTCAGATGCATGATGCTGTAGATACTGCAGCAGAAGCAGCAGCAGCAGCAGCAGCAGCAGCAGTTGCAGTAGACACACTGGCACCTTCATTAATATCACACTCAACTGACTGTGTTTTATCTTCCCATTGCACTGATGGGTGGACAGTTCTCAGGTACCTGGTGCAGTTTGTTTGTGAAGCCTATATGATATTCTTTTCTGTAGACTCTACACTCTGCCTTTGTAATGTCAGTAGAATTGAAATGGTTCCAGATTTTGCATCACTCATTTTCTTTACTATACCTTTCTAATATTGTTTCTTGTTGTTGCCTCTGGCTCTCTCTCTCCCTCTGTTCATGTGCTAATGCTGCTATTAGTGTAACTATCGCCCTCCCCCCTCTGCTCAGCACAAACAAAAAAACAAACACATATTGATCAGTGTGGGCATGAAGCGAAAAAAGTGTGAGAGAAAGAAAAAAATAAAGCAGTTCCAAAAGCCGTTTTGTTCGCGGACCGACCATCACTAGTAAGATAAAGTAAAACGAACTCTAGGCGGGCCTAGCTACTTCAGGTCGCTACATTAGGATGATTGGTTTTTGCTCTAGATTAAAGAATGGCAGTTGATCAAATTAATTTTCATCAATAATGCTTTTACCTCATCATTTGCATCAAACATTTGTTTTATCATTTACTGCACATAGTTATGTTTAGACTTCTACCCTCACCCACTAACAGGCATAAACAGAGAGAAGCCTTCTTTTCTGTGGAATGTGTGATGAGCAAGGTCTGCCTGAACTGGTGATGGCACCAGAAGGTACAAAACCTTGAGGCCCACTCTGCTAGAGGAAACTCGGCTGTTAATTTCTGGGGTTAGAGAAGCTCTTTCTCTCCCTTTTCTTTTCCTCGCTCCCTTCGCTATCTCTTTATGCAGATCTGAGCAGAGGGTAAGAGGTGGTTGCCATGGTAAAGGGAGCGTTGCCTGCAAGAGAGTCATCTCTAAATAAGGAGATCCAGAGAGGTGCAAAAGAAGAAACACAAGCTCATATCAGACCACCCTCAACTAGGGTTGCCAACTCCCCGAAAAATAAATAAGGGACACCTCGTGGCCAGGGCCGGGCGACCCAGTTGTCTTCACCCTTCCCAGTGTGGTGAATTTTTAGCTCTTTTTTTGTGTGAAATTATTTTTTTAACCATTTGACTTGAAGTTGATTTAAGTAGATGCATATTCTATTCTTTGTGATATGACCATATGTGAAACAAGTGATCATTTAGCCATTTATTTTTAGCTCAAAATGACAACATTAACACAGTAAAACAGGTCTCTTTCTTAAACTGTCATGCTTAACTTTTGAGAATATAAGTAAATCTTTCTTTAAAAGAACTCTGTCCTGCTTAACTTAAAATAATAGAAAACAATAGAAGGAAAAACATTCTTGTAACAGTGCACATTTAGTGCATTTAGTACAATTGGCTTCAGTTGAGGTATTATTTCAGACGCTCATCAGCTGCTCCTGTTTCTAAACCAGCTTGTTCCCATGATTATGCATCTTAACTCATCATCATTATTCATCTATGTATTACTTTTATGTATAGTGATCTATTTGTTGTAATCATCTATCCTTGCAGTTGTTTATTACACCAAAATAAGTTATATTATCACACTTCTGGCCACATAGCGCTGATATTCACTGCACATGCCCATATTAACTTTTTCCAGCCAGGTGTTTTTCCTTTTCCCATTCTTCCCTTTCTCTGAGGGGAACAAACATTGCTGCTCTGATGCTGGCTTCACACTGTGCGGTTTTTGGCCCATTTTGAGCCGATTTTTGAGTCGTGCGACCGTTTTGGTGATCGGACCGATTTGGGCCTTCATCGTGCATCGTGTAGTATACGTGGGGTAACGAGAAGTGATTAACACCTCACAACCAGCTCCCGATCATCAATCGCTCGTGAGGGTCTCACCGACTGCAGCCGCTCAACTCAACTGCTTCACGCGCAAACACGTAAACGTCGTGAAAAACACGAAATAGCACAGCAGTGCAGCGTGTGATCTGGACACAAGCGATGGAGGCACATTGTAGAACTTTGGAAGCTCATCCGAGCCTTTTCGATGTGGCTCACAAAATTACACGACCACAACAACACGTGAAAAATAGTTGGATCTACACTGCTGCTCAATCACAGCTGCCTGATCAATGTTTTTCATTAGCAATTTAAGC